TACATATATATATATATATATATATATATATATATATATATATATATATATATATATATATATATATATATATATATATATATATATATATATATATATGTATACATATATATGTATAATATATATATATATATATATATATATATATATATATATATATATATATATATATATATATATATATATATATATATATATATATATATATGCATGCCTGCATATATATATATATGTATGTATGCTTAATTTCCTTGTATGTATACCGTCCAAACACGTAATAAAGTACACTAGATACACTCAGAACACCCATCACAACATCGACACATAGAGAACCCATCCCTGTATCCCTACATATATACAGCACATTAACACTTATTTACACATGCATACCAACATACATTACGGACATTCACGCATACATGAAAGCATGTATACATTACATACAGACGGACTTACATGAGGCTATGCATAGAAATGAGTAGAAGGGGAGATGGAGAATAAAGGTGGAAAGGAAGATAACTGATAATCATGTAATTAAGAAAATAGAAAGAAATTGAGGAGGAAGGTGTAGAGGAACGTAGAGGTGGAGAATAATGGCAATGGTGATAAAGATGGAAGAATACAGAGTGAGAAGAATAGAAAGCTAAGACAGAAAATAGATGGAGAAAGGGAAGATAGCAGATAGGAGAAGGAGAAAGGGAAGATTGAAGGAAGAGAAGGAAGAAGAAAAGGGGAGAGGAAGAAGAAGAAGGAAAAAAGAGGAAAATAGACATAACAAGAATGGAACACGTAGCTAGGGAGAAGAAAGGAGAAGAAAAAGATAATAGAAGTAAGAGAAGCAGTGGACACAACAGAAGGAGAAGAAAAAGTAAAAAAGAAGATAAAAGAATGAAAAAAGAAGAAAGACGATGCGAGCAAAGATAAATAAAAGGAAGTCAAGGAAATCACATGTGGGCAGAAAGAAAAGGAAAGAAAGAAAAGAGAATAATAATACCAAAAGAAGTTAGCAAAGAAAATAACGAATGATGAAACGAAACATAGATAGGACCAAGAAACAGCCCCAAAAATCAGGGAAAAGAAATTACCTAACCCTTTCGACCCTAAAAAAAAAAAAAAAAAAAAAAAAAAAAAAAAAAACGTCCCCTCCACCCTACCTACCTTCCCCTACCCCCCTCCCCCTCCCGCGCCCAATAGGCCTACCTCAGCCCTCCCCGTCATTACCATTTGCCCAATAATGGTAGGCCGGGGAGACGCGGGAGGCCTACACGACGAGAGCACGTGCCTAGGCCTCCTTGTGGTCAAGCATGTCATCCCGGGATCTTAGACGTGGCTGAGGGATAGGCCGGGCGGCGGGCGTGGCGCGCTCGTGTCCTGGTGGGCGGTGGGTGAAAGTGGGCGTCGGTGGAGGGGTGTGTGGGGGGGGTGAGTGGGGTTATGAGTGGTGTGAGGGGGAAAGGGGGGAGGGGTGGGATTGGGGTGCGTAGTTGTGTGTGTGTGTGGGGGGGAGGAGGGGTGCAGATGGGGGGAAGGGGGTAGAGGTATGGGTGGTGTGGGGGAGGAGGGGGTGGTGGGGGATGGGTGGGCGCGCAGGTGGTGTGGGGAGGGGAAATGGTGGGGATGTAGGGATTGTGGGCGTGTGTTATAGAAAGGGGTGGGGGTACAAGCGGCTTGGGAAAAGAGGGGGGGGGGGGGGAGCGTGGGGAATGGCATGGGGATTGGGGAAGAGGAAGTGGGGAGGGTAAGGAAAAAGTGAAAGTGGGGGGGGGTAGGATGGTGGGGGTAGGGGAAGGGGGGGAAAGACCGTGAAATATATTATGTATGGGTATTTGAAGAGGAGTATAGACTAGGTGTGTGCCCTGTGTGTGTGTGTGTGTGTGTGTGTGGTGTGTGTGTGTGTGTGTGTGTAGGAGGAAGGGGGGGGGTATAGTTAAATATAAACGTGTGATGTATATTAGTAAGTATTTGATAGTGATATTGAAAACAATAAGATATATGCATGAAAGAGATGCGAATGCAGACTGATAATGAAAATAATAGAAAATGAAATAGACAAAAGGTAAAATAAATAACAACATACTCACGTAATCAGTTCCTACCCCCCCCCCCACGCTACCCCCGCAACAGAAAAAAAAGGGTTAAGACAAGCTACATCCAGGTAGGCCTAGTACAGAAGGGGGAAAAAAATAAATGAATGAATGAGAAATAGACAGAAATGGGCCTAGGGACATACATTTATCTCAGTCTATGCTCGAGACCCCCTGCTGGCCTGGCATATAGAAAACGGAGGACGTTCGGGTAGTTGAGAGGCATGGCCGCTTGTAAATCACTCGAGTCATTTACACAAAATATGTAAATTAAAAAGAGAAATAAAGATAAAAAAGGAATAAAGAAGGAACTTTGTCGTTGGATATTCTTGATGTTCATAAATCATTTCCTCATAGCATGGAATTTACAACAGCAATTAAAAGGACGTGTTTGCTATGTACCTTTTACATTGTCATTTATACAAACACAATTCACAACAAGAGAAAGAATTTTTGGAAGACTTCTGTTGACGTTTTCGGGCATTTTCTCTTTATTCTATTAATTATATTTTAGTTGTTTGTATATTCGATTATCAGTAAAAGGTAATTTATCATCGGTATGAGCCTTGAGCCTTATAAAAAGAGAAATGGAAGAAGGAATATGAAAAAAATAAAGAAAGAAGAAAAAAGAAGAAAAACAAAAAGAAAGAAGAAAGGAAAGAAATAAGTATATATATATATATATATATATATATATATATATATATTATATATATATATATATAATATATATATATATATATATATATATATATATATATATATATATATATATATATATATATATATATATATATATATATATATATATATATATATATATATATATATATATATATAGAGAGAGAGAGAGAGAGAGAGAGAGAGAGAGAGAGAGAGAGAGAGAGAGAGAGAGAGAGAGAGAGAGAGAGAGAGAGAGAGAGACAGAGAGACAGAGAGACAGAGACAGAGAGAGAGAGACAGAGAGAAAGACAGAGAGAGAGAGAGAGAGAGAAAATACAAAAAAGACCTTATCATTATCTGTCTTTGATGTCATAATGTTATGTTTAGGAGAAATGATACTAATACTTGATAAAGCTATTAAGATCATATCATCATTGTTAATACTGCTTTAATGCTAACTCTATCACTATTAGCATTTAAACCCATGACTGTTGTTATTTCACTTCTATAATTTCTTCAATAGTAGAACTTAAAGAAAATAATAATAACAACCCTGTACCATAAGTGCGATAGCGAATAAATATAGATAGACAAATACATAAATACAATGTTTAGATAGATAAAGCAACATAGATGTAAATAGAGACAGATGTATAAAAGAGAAATGAAGACATCAACATTTCATCACATCCGTAAGTGACTTCATATCAACTTTAATTAAACCACCGACATCATATAAAAAAAAAATAATGATGAACAAGGGAGTGAACGATGAAGGGAGGGGAAGGGGGAAGGGGGGGGAGGGGGAGGGGGTGACTGTCTGCCTTTGACTGTGACCTTTGTTAAGCGTGACAGATGGCTGTCCTTCCATTAATGGCTGCCTTGCAATCATGGTTGTTCCTGAAAATTTGCTTCGTCGAGACAATTCTCAGCTAATGGGTTTGAGATGATGAGGATACGATGTGTATATATATATATATATATATATATATATATATATATATATATATATATATATATATATATATATATATATATATATATATATATATATATATATATATATGAGTGTGTGTGTGTGTGTGTGTGTGTGTGTGTGTGTGTGTGTGTGTGTGTGTGTGTGTGTGTGTGTATATATATATATATATATATATATATATATATATATATATATATATATATATATATATATATATAGAGAGAGAGAGAGAGAGAGAGAGAGAGAGAGAGAGAGAGAGAGAGAGAGAGAGAGAGAGAGAGAGAGAGAGAGAGAGAGAGAGAGAGAGACAGACAGACAGACAGACAGACAGACAGACAGACAGACAGACAGACAGACAGAGAGGAAGAGAGAGACAGACAGAGAGGAAGAGAGAGAGAGAGAGAGACAGTCCGACACAGACAGAGATAAGAGCGGGGGACAGTACAAAAAATAGAAATAGAAAGAGCGAGCTAGACAGCAAAACAGAACCAGAATGAAAGAGAGCGAGACAGAGCGAGATAGAGCAAGCTTGAACCAGAGAGACAGAGCAAATCAGAACCTTCCAGAGACAGAGCGAGACAGAAGGAGACAGAGGAAACCAGAAGCATACAGACAAAGCGAGGCAGAGCGAGAAAGAGAGAGACAGAGCGAGACAGAGCGAGAAAGAGAGAGACAGAGCGAGAAAGAAAGAGACGAGACAGAGCGAGAAAGAGAGAGACAGAGCGAGACAAAGCGAGAAAGAGAGAACAGAAACGAGACAGAGCGAGAAAGAGAGAGACAGAGCAAGACAGAGCGAGGCAGAGCGAGAAAGAGAGAGAGAGACAAAACGAGACAGAGAGAAAGAGAGAGACAGAGCGAGAGCGAGAAAAGAGAGACAAAACGAGACAGAGCGAGAAAGAGAGAGACAGAGCGAGACAGAGAGAGACAGAGCGAGAACGAGAGAGATAGAGCGAGAAAGAGCGAGACAACGCAAGCCAAAACTCGAGACTGAACAAGAGTAAACCAGAAGCATGCAGACAAAGCGAGACAGAACAAAACAAAATGAAAGAGCAAAACAGAAGCATATAGACAAAGCAAGCCAAAGCGAGACAGAGAGAGACAAAGCGAGACAAAGCGAGACGAGAACCGAGACAGAGACAAAGTGAGAAAGAGCGAGACAGAGCAAGCCAAAGTGAGACAGAGCGAGACAAAACGAAAGAGCAAGCCAGAAGCATACATAGCAAAACAAAGCAAGCCAAAGCGAGACAAACCAAGCCAAAGTAATCCAAACCAAGCCAAAGCAAGCCAAACCAAGCCAAAGTGAGACAAACCAAGCCAAAGCCAGCCAAACCAAGCCAAAGAGAAGCCAAAGTGAGACAAACCAAGCCAAAGTGAGACAAACCAAGCCAAAGCGAGACAAACCAAGCCAAAGCGAGACAAACCAAGCCAAAGTGAGACAAACCAAGCCAAAGCGAGACAAACCAAGCCAAAGTGAGACAAACCAAGCCAAAAGCCAAAGAGACAAACAAGCCAAAGCAAACCAAGCCAAAGAGACAAACAAGCAAAGCAACCAAGCCAAGCAAGACAACCAAGCCAAAGCAAGCCAAAGCGAGACAAACCAAGCCAAAGTGAGACAAACCAAGCCAAAGGGAGACAAACCAAGCCAAAGCGAGACAAACCAAGCCAAAGACAAACCAAGCCAAGCGAGACAAACCAGCCAAAGCCAAACCAAGCCAACCAAGCCAAAGCGAGACAAACCAAGCCAAAGTGAGACAAACCAAGCCAAAGTGAGACAAACCAAGCCAAAGTGAGACAAACCAAGCCAAAGCCAGACAAGCCAAAGTGAGAAAAACCAAGCCAAAGTGAAAAAACCAACCAAAGCCAAACCAAGCAAAGTGAGACAAACCGAGCCAAACCAATCCAAACCGAGCCAAACCATCCAAACCAAGCCAAACGAGCCAAACCAAGCCAAACCAAGCCAAAGCAATCCAAAGCAGCCAAACCGAGCCAAACCAAGCCAAACCAAGCCAAACCAAGCCAAATTTAGCCAAACCTATCCAAACCAAGCCAGAGCGAGCCAAACCGAGCCAAACCAAACCAAGCCAAACCATCCAAAGCGAGCCAAACCTATCCAAACCGAGCCAAACCCAGCCAGAGCCCAAACCAAGCCAGAGCCAGCCAAACCAAGCCAAGCCCAAATCCAAACCAAGCCAAGCCGAGCCAAACCGAGCCAGAGCAAAGCCAAACCAAGCCAAACCGAGCCAAACGAGCCAAACCAAGCCAAAGCAACCAAACCAAGCCAAAGCAAGCCAAACCAATCCAAAACAGCCAAACCGAGCCAAACCAGCCAAAGCCCAAAACCCCAAACCAAGCCAAAGCAATCCAAACCAAGCCAAAGCAATCCAAACCAAGCCAAAGCGAGCCAAAACCGAACCACCAAGCCAAACCTATCCAAACCAAGCCAAACCGAGCGCCAAACCGAGCCAGAGAGCGCGGCGGCGGGTCCCCTCGTGCAATTAGAGCCAAAGATGACGAATGGCGCCTCATTCATCACGGAACGCTGCAATTGACTCTTTTTTGTATCCATGTCCCGCTCTCTCTCTCTCTCTCGTGGTATTATACAGAGGAGAAAGAAGTCTGTCTCCCTTCGACCCCTTTGGCTGAGGGGTTCAAACGGGAAAATTTTTTCTGTTTTTTTTTTTTTCTTTTTTTTTTATCATCATGAATCGATTTTTTCTGCTTTTTTTTTCTTCTTTTTTCTTATTCTATCAACAAAAATTTTTTTTTTTTTTTTTTTCTATTTTTTATTATATTATTATTATTATTATATTTAATCAACACGAAAACATTTATATTTTCTACTTTTTTATTATTATCATTATTTTTTTTTTTCGTATCTTCAAAATTTTGTTTCGTTGGAGTTATGAGGACAAACTTCGAATATAAAATGAATAGATTAATAATTAAATGAATAAATACAAAATCAAAGAAAGAAAGAGAGAAAGGATGAAAGAAAAAAAAGAAAAGATAGAAAGAATGAATGAAAAAAAGAAGAGAATCAAAGAAAGAAAGAATGAGGAATAAGTGAATAAACAAATAAACTCACAAATAAAAAAGAAAGAAACAAAAATAAATGAATAGACAAAAAATAAACAAATACGTAAATAGGCAGACAAATGGATAAAATAAACAAACAAAGGAATAAGTAGAAAAAAAAATAGAATTAGAGACGAGAAGTTGATGAAAGACCATTCATTAAAATCTCCAAAGACCTTTTTTTAGTGCTCAGAGAAAGTCATTTTTTCCCTCGATCTAACTTGCTTCTGTTTATGTGTTTCTTTTTCTTCTTCTTAGTCTTTTTTTTCTTCTTTTTCTTTTTCTTCTTTCTTCGACTTCTTCTTTTTCTTCTTTTCTTCTTCTTCTTCTTTTTTTCTTCTTCTTCTTCTTCTTTCTTTTTCTTCTTCTTTTTCTTCTTCCTTCTTTTCCTTCTTCTCTTCTTCTTTTCTTTTTCTTCTTCTTCTTCTTTTTCTTCTTCTTCTTTTTCTTCTTCTTCTTCTTCTTCTTCTTTTCTTCTCCTCCTTCTTCTTCTTCTTCCTCTTCTTCTTCTTTTTCTTTTTCTTCTTCTTTTCTTCTTCTTCTTCTTCTTTTTCTTTTTCTTCTTTTCTTCTTCTTCTTCTTCTTCTTCTTCTTCTTCTTTTTTCTAGTTTCTTCTTCTTTTTCCTCTTCTTTCTTTTTCTTCCTCCTCTCCTTCCTCTTCTCTAATCATGTTATATTGTTATACTTCTGTTGATCATATTTTTTGATATATCAAATTGTTATACTTTTGGTGATTATGTTTTTAATCATGTTATACTGTTAAAGTTACGTTGCTTATGTTCATTATGTTATATGTGTATAGTTCTGTTAATTGTGTGTTTTGTTATGCTATTATGTTATAGTTCTGGTGAGTGTTTTTATGCTATTATGTTATGTTATAAATGATACTTTTTTTTATTATATTTCTTCTGTGTTCTCTCATTTGAACTTTTATTTCTCTATGTTTTCTTTATCTTGAGTTCTTCGTATTAACTTTTATTTTATAATTCAGTTTCGTCATGTGTCGGACTTTTTTTCCTAATTACGTTTTTGTATTATTTATTATTGTTTCTTTTTATCTTCTGTGTTATTGTGGGTTGCTTCGGTTACTCTTTCTGTTTAATTTTCAGTTTCTTAATTTGTATCTAATTATTTTTTATTGTATTTGAGAGAGAGATGGATATAGATATATGAGATAGATAAATAGGAACATATTCGTACGCATACTAACACACACAAACATACACACATACACACACACACACACACACACACACACACACACACACACACACACACACACACACACACACACACACACACACACCACACACACACACACACACACACACACACATACAGACACACACACACACACACACACACACACACACACACACCACACACACACACAACATACACACACATACACACACGAACAAACTCATTCATTTAGTGGCAAGCCAAAAACCACCCTCTACCCATACTCTCGGGTCCCCTCCCCCCTTGCTAAATCTCCCTTCCCCCCCTCCTCCACTCCCTTTACTCACTCTCCCCTCCCCCTTCCCTCCCACTCTCCCTCATTCTCTTCACCCCTCACCTTCCCTCCCCCCTCCTTCCCACTCTCCCGCTTCATTCTCTCCTCCCACTTCTCATTCTCTTCACCCTCACCTTCCCCTCCCCCTCCCCCCACTCTCCCTCATCTCTTCACCCTCACCTTCCCTCCCCCTCCCTCCCTCTCCCTCATTCTCTCACCCTCACCTTCCCTCCCCTCCCTCCACTCTCCCTCATTCTCTTCACCCTCACCTTCCCCTCCCCCCTCCCTCCCATCTCTCATTCTCTTCACCCTCACCTTCTCCCCCCTTCTCCCTCATTCTCTTCACCCTCACCTTCCCCTCCCCCTCCCTCCACTCTCCTCATTCTCTTCCCGTCATTCTCTTCACCCTCACCTTCCCCTCCCCCCTCCTCCCACTCTCCCTCAACCTCTTCCCCTCCCCTCCCTCCCCTCTCCCTCTCTTCACCTCACCTTCCCCTCCCCCCTCCCTCCCACTCTCCCTCATTTCTCTTCACCCTCACCTTCACTCTCCCTCATTCCTTCACCCTCACCTTCCCCTCCCCCCTCCCCCTCCCCTCCACTTCTCCCTCACTCTCCCTCATTCTCTTCACCCTCACCTTCCCTCCCCCCTCCCTTCTCCAAAGAAACGCACAAATCCTCTCCCTCACGCTCTCTCAAATCCGTTACACCCCTCCCTCCTCGTCCCTATCATCACCCCCACCTTCTCTTCACTCCAAAACCCCTATAAGTCCCCCCCCCACTCTCCTTCATCCCCCTCCTCCATCAAAAAATCTCATTCCACCTTTCCACACTCCTTCACCCCTCCCCTCCCTCTCCCCTTCTCCAACAAAATATTCCCCCTTCTATCCTTCTTCCCATTCCCTCTTCCTCTTCCCCTCCCCCTTCCTTCCCTATTCCCCTTCCCTCCCCTCCTCCCATCCTTCTTCCCACTCCCTACCCCTCCTTTCCCTCTCCCCTTCCCTCCCCCTTCTCTTCCCTATTCCCCTCCCTTCCACCCTCCTATCCTTCTTCCCCTTCCCTCCCCTCTTCCCCACAAAAGATAATCTTGATAATCTACTCACCCCTTCATCCTTACCCCTCCCTACTCGCCCCCCCCCCCAAAAAATGGCTTGATATTTCCCCCTCCTTCTCCTTCCTCTTTCCCTCCCCTTCCTTCCCCCCTCTCCTTTCCTTCCTCTCTTCCCCTCCTTCTCCCTCCCCTCCTCATCCTACCCCCTCCCTCCCTTTCCCTCCCCCTATCCCCTCCCTCCTCCTCCTTCCCGCCTCCTCCCTCCCCCCCCCCTCCCTCTCCTTCCTTCCCCACTCTCCTTCCTCCTCCCTTCCCCTTCTTTTGAATTTGAATTTGAATTTGAATCTTCTCCCTCCTCCTTCTCCCTCCCCCTCCTCATCCTACCCCCCCTCCCCTCCTTTCCCCCTCCTTCCCCCCCTCCTTATCCTTCTTCATAAAGTTGTTTACGGGCGCCAGAAGGGCTTGAGGACCGCTAGGCGTTCCCATGACAGAGTCCCAGTGATGGACACTTGTTTACAGGGGCGGACCAAGGCAAAATATATCACGTGACATCGACACCAGGACGGGGTGGGGGTGGTGGGGGTGAGGGCGAGAGGGTAGGGGTTTGAGGTGGGGAGGTACGGGTGCAAGGATTGGAGGTTTGGGGTGGGGAGGGCGAGAGGGTAGGGGTTTGAGGTGGGGAGGTACGGGTGCAAGGATTGGAGGTTTGGGGTGGGGTGGTGGGGGTGGGATCCCGGTGTAGGGGTTTGGGGGTGGGGGTGGGAGTGTGGTGGAGGGGTTCGGGTGGGGGTTCATGTTCAAAGGTAGGGGGTTGGTAGGTTGGGGAGGATAATTTTGAGTTGGGGGTGAGAAATTCGAAAAAACCAGGGGTTGGGTTGGGGGAGCGAGTGCCAATCGTGAGATGGACTTGGGGTTGAGAGAGAGCGGCAAAAAGTGGGGAAGTATGTATGAGAGGGGGGAGTGAACCGATACGTGAGTGCAAGAATAAAGAGGGGGGTGTGTGCAGAGAGTGGAGGGTTAGGATTCATGGTGGGGTGTGGGGTTTGCAAGGGAGGGGTGGAGGTGGGGGTGGGGGTAAAGAATGAAGAGGTGATGATAATGATCATGTTTGCACTGTAGGGTAATAAGAAGACACCACATGAAGATAATGTTATAATATGAGGATAATGATATATATGATATAATATATATATATATATATATATATATATATATATATATATATATATATATATGAGGACAATGATAATGATATGTATATGAAATAATGACAAATATATGTATGAGGATAATGATAATTATATGAGAATAATTATATGTATATGAGGGTAATGATAATGATATGCACATGAGGATAATGCCAATGATATGTATGAATAATATATGTTATGAGAATAATTATATGTATATGAGGGTAATGATGAATGATATGGGATAATGATAATGATATATATGAGGATAATGATATGTATATGATAATAATTGATATATATGATATGAGGATAATGATAATATGTATATGAGGAAAATGATAAAGATATGTATGAAAATAATTTGATATGTTATGAAATAGTGATATGTATAATATATGAGGATAATGATATGTATATGGATAATGTGAGATATGTATGAGTAATGATATGTATATGAGGATAATGATAATGAATGATAGATGAGGATAATGATAATGATATGTATGAGGATAATGATATGTATATGAGGATAATGACAATGATATGTATAAGGAAATTGATAATGATAATATGTATATGAGGATAATGATAATGACAATATGTATGAGGATAATGACAATGATAATGATATGTATATGAGGATAATGATATGCATATGAATGATAATGATTATGAGTGGTAAACATTTATGACAAATTGGCGTCTGTGATGAGAACATATGTAAAA